CACTATATATATCAGGATTTTAAACAACATTGTCTATTCGGTAAGCCATGTCGGCCACTATATACATCAGGATTTTAAACACCATTGTCTATTCAGTAAGCCATATCGGCCACTATATATATCAGGATTTTAAACACGATTGTCTATTCGGTAAGCCATGTCGGCCACTATATACATCAGGATTTTAAACACCATTGTCTATTCGGTAAGACATATCGGCCACTATATATATCAGGATTTTAAACACCATTGTCTATTCGGTAAGCCATGTCGGCCACTATATATATCAGGATTTTAAACAACATTGTCTATTCGGTAAGCCATATTGGACACTATATATATATCAGGATTTTAAACACCATTGTCTATTCGGTAAGCCATGGTGGACTCTATATACATCAGGATTTTAAACAACATTGTCTATTCGGTAAGCCATGTCGGCCACTATATATATCAGGATTTTAAACAACATTGTCTATTCGGTAAGCCATGTCGGCCACTATATATATCAGGATTTTAAACACCATTGTCTATAAGGTAAGCCATATCGGCCACTATATATATCAGGATTTTAAACACGATTGTCTATTCGGTAAGCCATGTCGGCCACTATATACATCAGGATTTTAAACACCATTGTCTATTCGGTTAGCCATGTCGGACACTATATATATCAGGATTTTAAACAACATTGTCTATTCGGTAAGCCATGTCGGCCACCATATACATCAGGATTTTAAACACCATTGTCTATTCAGTAAGCCATGTCGGACACTATATACATCAGGATTTTAAACAACATTGTCTATTCGGTAAGCCATGTCGGACGTAAGCCATGTCGGCCACTATATACATCAGGATTTTAAACACCATTGTCTATTCGGTAAGCCATGTCGGCCACTATATATATCAGGATTTTAAAGGGACCGTTCACTTGTTTGGGTAATTTCAGGGTAAACTAAACAGCCTAAGCGCTATTCATTGGTAATAGTCTTACTTTTCAAAGACATCTGTGGCCGGAGAAAAAGCCGATTTTTCGTTCAGAATTTGAGCGCAAAGGGACGGTCCCTCTCTATACACACTATTTGATGTTTTTTTCAGTATAAACAGCCCAATAACATTTAAATTTATTATATTTTAATGTCATTATGTGTTCGTTGTTATATACTAAAACATGAAAACTTTTGATATTTGAGTTAGCAAGAAATTTACGTTTTTCGTTTTAATACACGTAAACTGTGTACACAAAGACGACGTCCTCTACGACAATCAATTAATCATTACCCGCATTACGGTTCGTAGATTAAGACCCATGTCTATTTTTGTGTCAGTCATTTTGAGTCTAGTAGAAATATTTTTTACTGGAAATAAATGCACTAAACAAGTTATCTGAGTGTTTGTGTTTTCACATAATATGGAGCATGTGAATAAGTTAACCCGGTGTTGGGTTGTCGGTCAGTTTAATCCGGGAGCTCACAAAGACACGTCCGGTCAGCACGGATAACTACACTACACTGATGAAAGAATCTAAGTTTGAAATATCAAAGGTTTACACCATCAGGTAGAAAAAAGGAAGGTATTATAAAATCAGAGTTTGTAGCAAAGACTCAATTCCTTTAATTGTCTTAATTTCAGAAGAACCTGGTGATCTCAGGACATTTGGTGGTCTTGATATAAATTACTCAGCTTATAAAGATAATGGCTCTAAAAACATGAAGAATTACAAGAATGTAATCAAACCAAGTTTACTGAAGGAATCAGATAATACCCTTGTCCTGGATGTTGTACCCCTTCCAGAGCTGCATTTGCTGATGAAAATAGTAACTGTGTGTTCTCAGCTTCTTTGTAATCAGCCAGCTGTCACTAATTGGTTTAAAGCTTCTGGAATTATATTCCATGGTTATAATGGTGGAGGTCTAGATGGAAGAAACAGTAACAAGGTAACTTTTAGTTCTACTTTCAATGTCTTTAATAAAAAATAAAATAATAGCTTAAAAAAAGTCCTTGGTACATACATTGATAACTCTAACCTCCATTTCCCAGGTGCTGAAAAAACTGGAGACTTGTTCTTCTTTTGTAATTGAAGAGTGTCCTGATTACCTTCCACTGGTTGATCTTTTGATGAAGTTTAACTCTGGTATGTTCTTGGGGAGATTATTGATACTATATTCTTATTCTTAAAAGAATGCCAAACTTTTTTCTTAAATCACTTATACTTAGTTTTTTTATAATTGTTTTTTTCAGTTGTAAAATCTTGCTTTGGAATGGAGCTCTTAGATGGCTATGGCATGGCCTTTGAAGATTTTAAGAATGAGCTAAAGGTACAGGTTTTTTCATATGATAAGACTTAAAGGGACCGTTCACTTGTTTGGGTAATTTCAGGGTAAACTAAACAGCCTAAGCGCTATTCATTGGTAATAGTCTTACTTTTCAAAGACATCTGTGGCCGGAGAAAAAGCCGATTTTTCGTTCAGAATTTGAGCGCAAAGGGACGGTCCCTCTCTATAGACACTAATTGATGTTTTTTTCAGTAACAACAGCCCAATAAAATTTAAATTTATCATATTTTAATGTCATTATGTGTTCGTTGTTACATACTAAAATATGAAAACTTTTGACATTTGAGTTAGCAAGAAATTTACGTTTTTCGTTTTAAAACACGTAAACTGTGTATACAAAGACGACGTCCTCTACGGCAATCAATTAATCATTACCCGTATTACGGTTCGTAAATTTACTGTAAGTTCGATGCGAATAAACTGTACATCTTTATTATATTATGCTTGCAATAATGCATTTTTGAGTAAAAGTTTATTTTATAAAAATATCATTGCAAATATAAGCGTATAAATTGAAAGTAATAGAAATAATAATTAAATGTATCAGCTGATTGTATTATTACGTCAGACGTCTGTCAGCTTTTCTATTCAAGAAGATCAGCTGTCCGAGAAATTCAAACTGAATTAATTATTAACTTTATAATGTTAAAAAACAATCAGGTATTTTCAAAGTATGCATTTTTTTACCCCCCCCCCTAGCCTGTGAATTTTGTACATGACACACTTCAACACATTGATAAATTGGGTCATGTATGTGGCCGCAGCGCCAGGTCCCCTAGTCATAGCCGCGGCGCTTGCCCTTCTAGCCTGTCCTAGCCACAGCGCTCGGCCCCTTATAGACTGTCTTATCTGCAGGGCTCGGCCCAGAAAGGCTAGGTGGCCTAACCTAACCCTTAAAATGTATACTATAAATTTACTGAAAAATAAAAAAATAAATGGTCGTGTACAAAATTGATAGGAGGGGGGGGGGGNAAATATTAACATGGAAAGAATTTATGAAATGTCGTCTTGACAAATTTTCAATGGGATTTATTCTATTTACGTAAATCTTAGTATTTGCGAAAAGAAATAAATAGCCATGAATATGCCGGAATAGTTTAAAGAGCTCTATATAATCATTTAATTAAAAAACTAAATACCTTCCACATTCCATTATCAGAAAGTGAAGAATACGACATTTTATAAATTCTTTCAATGTATTTAATGTTTAGGGTTTAACTGTACTAAATCCCAAACTATTGATCCTGATATCCACGGTGGATAGTTTTGACTTTAGGATCAATGCTTAATCTTTCATTTCAGTTATCCCTTCAGAGTACAATATCACTGCGACTATCATATAAAGATTAAATTAATCTGCAGAGTAACAAAAAATTGAGATCAAGCATTGATCTTGATATCCACAATACAAGAGTTCTTGTAAACTTGCAGAATTAAACAGTTTGCTGTATACTTGTAAACATGCAGAATTAAAATAATAATTTGCTCTCAAACCTGAAAAATTCAATTATTTGCTATATTATTGTAAAACTGCAAAATTCAACTAAATTAGCTGTATACTTGTAAAACTGCAGAATTCAACTATTTGCTTTATTCTTGTAAACACGCAGAACTAAAATAATCATATTTTTGTAAACCTGCAGAATTCAACTAAAATATTGTAAATTGTAAAGTAATGTTTTAACTGTTCTACACTGAAATGTTGAAATTGAAAATATACCAGTGAAGTTGATCATCATTTATTTTTTTTCCTCAAGATTCTGAATTGTAATGATGTAATATTTCATTCAGTGCACCGTAATATATACAGGGTTACCCACAAAGGATGAGACTTCACAGAAGACTATACATATTTTATAGTCTATTTTAGTTCTATTCAGGATTCGCTGCAAATGTAAATACTTTGATTTTTTCTTTAGCCCAAAAAAGGCTATGGACTATTTTCAAGCCAGTTTAGGTCTTTCTAATAGTCGCATCCTTTCTAGGCAACTCTGTAGATAATTATTTTGAAGTAACTGGCTGAGAAAGAGGGTACGCATATATCTTACAGTAGTAAGCGATTATATCAATGCAATGAAAACGACTTTTTATTTGAGTTATGACTGTTCATAAGCTTTTCTCAAATTAAAAGTTACATGTAAGTTATTGGCAGGATTTCTTGATTTCATATGTTTATGTTAATTCTGTTTAACAGCTAGATATCAATCAAAATTGATATCGAAAGTCGTCTTCATTGTATTGATATGATTGCTTACCTTTGCATATGAAAGAACTACAACCACTACTCATTATTCATGAAATCTTACCCTGGGGTAAATAATTTTCAAAAACTTGTAACTTAAACGATATTAAAAGCTAATATTTCAAGATAAGATTATGCCAATCAATTTATTTTAAACTAATTTAAATTGTATTTTCGTACGGAGTCATTCACAAAGGATTCTGACATGACATTCATAATATCTGAAGCTCTGCGAATTAATATTCATCACCCATGTTAGACATTGTCTTTAATATGTTTCGCAATCGATTTGACAAAAAACGCAAAAAGAAATTCCGTACAGTCGTCTATGTAGTCTCATTCTTCCATCGTTGTGATTTTCCATGTATACCCAATTATTTCTTCTGCCACAGAGAATAAAGATAGTTTTACCAAAACTATGACATACAGAGAAACCCTGCAAACTGAGGATAGGAAGACGACATTAAAACAATATTATGTGTATTTGATGTTGTTTTAGAGCAGATAGTTTTACCAGTAACTTGAAATTCAACTTATCAAGTGAAATGTGTCTGTGCCTTGTGCACACTAAACTGAATGGCTGTGTTTCATGTACATTGGACAAATAAAAAACATTAGTTGTGTCTAAAAGTAGTCATTCAATTCCACAGTTTTATGAGTTTTATTCAGCGTATTAAAAACGAGGTTTTACAAATTGAGGTTTTACAAATTTTCTCATTTCTTTTTTGTACATAACTAAAATGTACAATTCGGGACTGCAGCACAGTGTACCATGATCTATCACATGACTCGAGTATTGAGTACAGTATGCTGACAGAACACTATAGAAACCTGTCAGGAACTGCCCTATGGGTACACCAGACAATTGTTTAACATTAAAAAAAAACTTTCAAATGTCAAAAGTTATGAATTGTACATTGATACACATAAAACTGTGGAATAGGAATTTCGACACAAGTTATGATCTTGAAAAGTCCAATAAACCTGAAATACAGCTTAATTCTGCACCTCACACAGATTTATAAATTAACTATTTGCTTTTTTAACAACATTGGTTTAATACACACGATATTGTTCAAATGTCGTCTTTCTATTCCACAGTTTTATCAGTCTAACTCTGTATAAAACAATTTAAAGTAAACAAGATTATATTTTAAGTTTTATTTGTCATAACAATCGTTGTTATACTTGACAAAATTTGTCTCGAGAATTTGGTTCTTTAATTGGGTTTCCACAAAATATTTTTTGCAAACTTTTTTGCATGAAGCGCAATAAATTTTCGTGTTTTTTGCGGAATTTTTTTGCGTGATTCGTGCAAACCGAAACTTAGTAAATTTTTACGCAAAACTTGCTATTGCAAATTGACAGTTTCAGCACTGAATCAAACAACTGAAGGTTTATTAAAAAAATTAATTACAAATAAACCATGATTTTACTGCTCTCAATTGGTTACTTTTAGTTACAAAATCTATAAAATTGAGAGAAAAAATAATAAAACAGAAATTAAAAATTTGATAAATTGAAAATTGATGCATGGTATTTTTAAATGTCTGAATATTTGTGTGGTGTTAAACTTTGATATTTCAAATGCAAATTTGTATACTCGTCTGTTTCTTTAGTTTAAAATGAGTAATTGTCAAAATACTGCTCGCCTTTTTTGTGAGATTGTTCACATCTTGATTTGCAATGTGCCTTTATGAATCAGGCTGCAAAATGTAGTTTTAGGCAAGTAATCAATTACTTGTTAAGAATTACAATTACAGGGTGAGTAAAAAAATACATCAAATGTCACTGTCACACTGTAATTTTCCCATATGATTGAAGGTGGTCCCAAGAGAATTTAATTTTTGCATCTGTCCGCATGTTTCATGGAGCAACTTCAGTGCAGTTCACTATGTGTTCGTACACTGCACACTGTACATCTGGTGTACATAGTAGAGAGATCATTATGAGATGCGGAAGAAACACAATCCTAAAATAAATTCAAATTATTAAAATTTTTGAAAATATAATCAGTCTCTTTTTAAAAAAAATCATTTTATTTCATTGTTTTAACGCTTAAACACTTGAACAGTGTTTAAATAAAACTTTAATAGAAGCGTATATATTTTCCTGCTGATGATATGTTAAATCTATGAAAAGAGGGTACCGTTGTAAATCTTTGATGGCACTCTTTACAAGAAATATCCGGATCCTTTAACATTTCGACTATAAATTATACCTGTTTCCGGCTTCCGCCAATTAAGGATAAATTAGTTTGGAATGCTGAATTCAGTGTTACTGTTCATCCGGCCATTCTTTATCTGAAAATGAAAAGTAAAATGATAATTATTTAAGTTTAATTGTTTCTTGCGTACATTATGAAATCAATTACAGGTGTTGCAGGCCTCAGGGGTTTCTGACCCATGACGATTGCAGTTGTTGGCTCAGTCCTAGTATAAGATTTTTAAATCTTAAAAGTTTTTTTTCATACTTTTATCAGTAAAGGACTTCAGTGTACCGTTGTGAATCGGACTTGCTCTTTTTTATAAATGGAGGGTCATGTGAAATGGGTCCGTCCTAGTGAAAAATTTTTGGACCCCCCTCCTATCAATTTTGTACATGACGAAAATTAAAATTAGTATTTATTTATTATTATTTAGGGTGAGGTTAGGTTAAGACACTTTCTGGGCCGAGCGCTGCGGCTAGGACAGGCAATTATATCCATGTCTAACATTTAAGATCCATGTACAAAATTGATAGGAGGGGGTGGGCTGGGGGGCGGGGTCAAAAAATCGTCCTCTAGGAATATACCTAAATACACTTACAGTCCCTTTGCGACGGTTTCTGGTTTGATTAATGGACCCCACCCCAACCTCCCTATCATGATTTGGTACAAAGACAATATTCATTATTTATCAACAAAACTAATAATATTAATGATAAATTTCTAAAGACCGATTTTTAGACCCCCCCCCCCCCTCCTATCAATTTTGTACATGGATCTCATATGTAACACATGGATATAATTGATCATGTGGCCGCAGCGCCCGACCCCCTAGCATGTCCTAGCTGCAGCGCTCGGCCAAGAAATTATCTAGCCTAGCCTAACTTGTTTATTAGGACGGATCCAAATGTTCATAATTCTTTAGTAAAACCTAACAATATATGTATATAGTTTCGTTTTACAACAGTTAAAAACTAATACGTAGTTATTAAACTAGCTATTAAACAGCTGTCTACTGTTATTAAACTGCGCTAAAATAATTTACATTGGGGGTGGTTGTGTCATTGTCTTTATAACCATATCATAGTCAGGGGCTTATTCACAGATAATATATGGGAGGGGGGGGGGGGGGATGAACTTTTCAAATACACGGAGTTTAATAGCTTAACATAAATAAAGTTAGTAATTTCTAGGGTTTAGACTGTCCGTGTCCGCCCAGTGCATGCTCACTCAATTAAATTCTGTAAAACTTAATATCACATATTTTAGCTCATGACTAAGATTCAAAAGTCGAAAAATCCTTGTTCTGCACCCCACCCCCTTGGATGAAGACACCTCTCAATTAGTTGTCTAAATTATAATATTAGTAACTCCCAAGTCCCAATTATAGTTTAGTACCCCGTTCCCGTCTGCGCGCAAGTTTTCATTTTTCGTGCCGCGTTCAATTCATCTTTTTACACAGGCAATACAAAATCTTTAATGCGATAAAATAGTCTTATTTTAGAAATAGAAAGTTAAAAAACAAAAAAAAAATAAAAAAATTATAACATTTACAATTAACCATTAGATACTACAGTTTAATTTTATATTCGGAATTTATTTTGATTCACAACATACTGAAAAAAACATCAAATAGTGTGTATAGAAAGGAACTCAAATTCTGAACAAAAAATCGGCTTTTTCTCCGGCCACAGATGTCTTTGAAAAGTAAGACTATTACCGATAAATAGCTGATAGGCTGTTTAGTTTACCCTGAAATTACCCAAAAAAGTGAACGGTCCCTTTAAATAAAATAAACTTTTACTCAAAAATTTATATTGCAAGCATAATATAATAAAGATGTACAGTTTATTCGCATCAATGATCGAACTTGCAGGACTTGCAGTGAATCTACGAACCGTAAAACGAGTAATGATTAATTGATTGCCGTAGAGGACGTTGTCTTTGTATACACAGTTTACGTGTTTTTAAACGAAAAACGTAAATTTCTTGCTAACTCAAATGTCAAAAGTTTTCATATTTTAGTAAATAACAACAAACACATAATGACATTAAATTATGATAAATTTAAATTTTATTGGACTGTTGTTACTGAAAAAAACATCAAATTGTGTGTATAGAAAGGGACCGTCCCTTTGCGCTCAAATTCTGAACGAAAAATCGGCTTTTTCTCCGGCCACAGTTGTCTTTGAAAAGTAAGACTATTACCGTTGAATAGCGCTTAGGCTGTTTAGTTTACCCTGAAATTACCCAAAAAAGTGAACGGTCCCTTTAATAGTTCTTGTAAAATCAGAACTTTCCATGCTCCAATGGGACATCAAAATATCAATTGTTTCTTGACTAACATTTTACTAAGATCAGAATGCCCCAGGAAAAAAGTTTCTCTTTGTAAATTAGAACTCAAAATGCATTGAATCAGAATGGAATTCAGCCCAAATTACCTTGAAAAACTGGTACTTGTTCTTCCTTTAATTATAATTATAGATTTAGTCATAAAAAGAAAAAAGGCATTCAGGCAATTCTAATGTATTTATAAACGGTATCGAAAAAATCTGCGAAATTAATTTAAATCCGGCGGTTTTTCTGAATAAACATTTGACAATAGAGTTTTGAACATATAATCAGGAACATATAATGAAGGCTTGAAGTTGTGTGCAATATTGTATTCTTATGACTTTAAAAATTACTTGTATTTTCAAACAGAAAAAGTATGAAAATGATAATTAATAGATTTATGAAAAATATTTACTATTCTTTGCTTATTTGTGTACTGGTTACACAAGAACTGTTTGGTTTTATAATATTTATCATTATTATCTTGTATTGATCATGGTAGAAGGAGGAACTAGCCAACTATACAAGAGTGCTTCAATTCTTTCCAAAAATATAAAAAAAAGTACAAAGAAGGCTAAATTCCACGTATTTTTAGAATTTACAAAAACATTAAAAATATCTCAAAATTTTCATAAAATTATTAAAAGAAATCGAACCAAATTCACTTTTCAGGCCTTAAAATTGCTGATATCAAACATACAAAAATGGGTCGTAATAGAGATTTAGTTTGCTAAATAAAAATTAGGCATTCAGCATAAAAAGTAATAAAAGCTACATACTCCACTCCAGGGTAAACTTTTACTTTTGCTTATCAGATTTAGAGAAAGGTATTGCATGCAGGTGGATGTGCTTCTGACTTTGGACTTGTAGTCAAAATACATTCATTTATTGATTCATCAATAGAATATAACTCAAATTCTCACTTTAAAAAGGACTCCTTTTAACATGCCCATGGTATATTAGAACTCCATATAGTATCCTTGGCATATTGGGACTAAATGTAGCATACTTGGTATATTGGGAATCCATATAGCATACTTCGTATATTGGGACTCCATGTAGCTTACTATGTATATATAGTATCCTTTGTATATTAGAACTCCCTGTATAGTATCCAAGGTATATTAGGAATCCATGTATAGTATCCTTGGTATATTAGTACTCCATATTTAGTATACTTGTAGTAAATGACCTACTCCATAAGGATTTCTCAAACTCGTATCTATCCAGGTACAACCAGGGAGTAAGGAATAGAAGGGAGATATAACTGACGCGGTTCGCCCTACCATATGATTATACATGCGTTGTAGACGGTACTCCATTTGTACAAGAAATATTCAGAATAGGTTATTGTATACACGGTAAATGTACATCAGACAAATATTTCTAATACAAATGTAGTACCGTCTGCAAAGCATGCATAATCATATGGTAGGGTGAACCGCGTCAGTTGTATCTACCTAGTATTCCTTACTCCCTGGGTACAACTGATCTCTTAAAAATCTTTCAAATTCCATAGAATTGCTTAAGAATTTCCGAGGAATCAGTCCGAAGAACTTGTTCTCGAGAAATTCCCCTGAAATTCATCAAAGCAAGTCACCAAAACTGAAGAACTTGGAGAAATTCCTCACTTTTGTTACCTGGAATTTTTTCTGTCAAAAAAGCCATGCGTGATCTGATTGGCATACATTTTATTTCATGGGTGCAATTTTTTTCATTTTTATTTAATTTCATGTTCTTGTTTATCGGAGATCGCTTTCATTCAGTATAGAAGAGGGGGGGGGGGGGAACAAAAGATTGAAAAATTGTAATCATAAACCTCAAAACTCAGACATTTTTATTCAAATACAGATCAAATCTGAGATGGAGAATGAAGTTCACTAAATCTTTGTAAGATGACAATGAATGAGATAAGATTAAGATGTAAGCCGAACTTTATGTGAATCTTGACCCAGACCCTGGACCCTGTACCCTGGACCCATCCCGGAGAAATGGTTGGATAAATCCTCCCCATTTTTGACAGTTATGTCGGTACCCGCAAAAACCTGTTGAATCAGGCACCCGGAGAGTATTTGAACCAAACCTTTCCATTCTACAACTATATCCGGAGATATATGATCAAACTGAACCTTTCAGAAAAAATAACCGCTTTTTAGGAAATATGCATTGCTTAGATGAAAAAAAAGAAATAACCTTATGTTAGGAATTTGAGAATGAAAAGCATTAAAAAGTATTTACGAGAATTCAAATCTAAATGGAAATTGAGAATGAAATGAAGGAAGGAAGGAATCGAGGGACAGAGGATGAAATGAAAGTAAGGACGAAAAATTAAATTAAGAGATGAAATAAGGATTATATAATCATAATCCTCCTTATTACTACTGCTTCTACTCCCCTTATGCTACTGCTCCATGTCATCCTTTTACTACTGAATCTACTCCCCCTATTGCTACTGCTCCATATCATCCTTTTCTACTGCTTCTACTCCTCCTATTGCTACTGCTCCATATCATCCTTTTACTACTGCTTCTACTCCCCCTAATGCTACAGCTCCATATCATCCTTTACTACAGCTTCTACTCCCCCTATTGCTACTGCTCCATATCATCCTTTTACTACTGCTTCTAATCCCCCTAATGCTACAGCTCCATATCATCCTTTTACTACTGCTTCTACTCCCCCTATTGCTACTGCTCCATATATTCCTTTTACTACTGCTTCTACTCCCCTTATTGCCACCATGCTTATAATGTTACATTGCTCCTATTCCTGCTATTGCTACTCCCCTTATTCCTCCTATTGCTATTGCTTCTCTGTCTCCTATTCTATTCCCCCTATTTCTCCTATTGCTAATGCTCCTATCCTCCTATTGCTACTGCTCCTATCCTCCTATTGCTACTGCTCTTATTCCTCCTATTGCTACTGCTCCTATCCTCCTATTGCTACTGCTCCTATTCCTCCTATTGCTACTAATACTGCTTCTATTGCTGCTGCTCCTATCTTCTTATTGCTACTGATACTGCTTCTATTGCTGCTGCTCCTATCCTCCTATTGCTACTGATACTGCTTCTATTGCTGCTGCTCCTATCCTCCTATTGCTACCGCTACTATCCTCCTATTTCAACTGATCCTATTCTCCCATTGCTACTACTCCTACCCTCCTATCGCTACTACTCCTATCCTCCTTATTGGTACTGCCCCTATCCTCCTACTGCTACTGCTACTGCTTCTATCGATACTGCTTCTATTCCTCCTATTGCTTCATGCTCCTATCCTCCTATTGCTACTGCTCCTATCCTGCTATTGCTGCTGCTCCTATCCTCCTATTGCTACTACTCCTATCCTCCTATTTCTACTGATCCTATTCTCCTATTGCTACTACTCCTATCCTCCTATCGCTACTACTCCTATCCTCCTATTGCTACTGCCCCTATCCTCCTACTGCTACTGCTACTGCTTCTATTCCTCCTATTGCTACTGCTCCTATCCTCCTATTGCTACTGCTCCCATCCTGCTATTGCTGCTGCTCCTATCCTCCTATTGCTACTACTCCTATCCTCCTATTTCTACTGATCCTATTCTCCTATTGCTACTACTCCTATCCTCCTATCGCTACTACTCCTATCCTCCTATTGCTACTGCCCCTATCCTCCTACTGCTACTGCTACTGCTTCTATTCCTCCTATTGCTACTGCTCCTATCCTCCTATTGCTACTGCTCCCATCCTGCTATTGCTGCTGCTCCTATCCTCCTATTGCTACTACTCCTATCCTCCTATTTCTACTGATCCTATTCTCCTATTGCTACTACTCCTATCCTCCTATCGCTACTACTCCTATCCTCCTATTGCTACTGCCCCTATCCTCCTACTGCTACTGCTACTGCTTCTATCGCTACTGCTTCTATTCCTCCTATTGCTACTGCTCCTATCCTCCTATTGCTACTGATATTATTCCTTCTATTGTTAGTGACCCTGCTGTTGTAAAACAAATTTCTGGTCATTTCAGCAATCTGATCCTCATCTTTACTGGTTTACACAATACAGTGCATCTTCTATACATTACAACATACCTCCCCCCTCCCGTCTCATGAAACCTAAACTTCTAGATAGATAGATAGATAGATAGATAGATAGATAGATAGATAGATAGATAGATAGATAGATAGATAGATACACTATACATATCCTTTTGGGTGAAGATGGTAACTTCAGCGTAATAAGCTGCCTGGCCTTGAAAACATTTAGAGGTCTAAAACTTGGAATAAACACTTTGTATTTTTCAAATCTAGAGATAACTATTTCTTGAAGTTTACTTCTCTTTTCTCTAAACCTTGGAGTATACGGTTCTATTCTCTCAACCTGAAGTATACGGTTCTATTCTCTGAACCTGGAGATATCTAAACCTTGAAGTATACGGTTCTATTCTCTGAACCTGGAGATATCTAAACCTTGAAGTATACGGTTCTATTCTCTGAACCTGGAGATATCTAAACCTTGGAGTATACGGTTCTATTCTTCGAATTTGGAGATATCTAAACCTTGAAGTATACGGTTTTATTCTCTGAACCTTGAGATATCTAAACTGTTTTATTCTCTGAACCTGGAGATATCTAAACCTTGAAGTATAATGTTCTATTCTCTGAACCTGGAGATATCTAAACCTTGAAGTATAATGTACTTTTCTCCGAACTTGGATATACCTTTTTATCAAACCTGGACTGGAGTTTGAGAATTATTTCAAACCTGGAGATAATAAAACCTTAAAAATCTACGGTAGCTTCTCTGAAAATTTCATAAAACCTTGGAGTTAACAGCCTTTTTATAAAATAAACGGGGTTCGTCTCCAAAACGTTAGAAGGATTTAAACCTTGGATATTACTCTAGATCTTTTACATTAAATTATTCTCAATACTCTTTTCCCTTCTTATTTGCATCCAACACTATCAGGTTGCAAAGATATGTTGATTAGAATATAATAGTTTGAGGCGAGTAATCAGGTTCTTAACCTCTAAATTAATTATTTATGTTTCATGATCTTTTACTTGATCCCCAATAAATATTAAATTCAAATAATCGAAGAATAGACAAAAAAATCTTCCAAATCATAAAAGTTGATTTTTTCATCAATTTATCAATTGTTTAAAAAGAAGAAAATGAGAAAAGAAAAATTAGTGAAGTACGTCTAATTTAAGCTTTTGAAAGAAGTTTTTATTTCTCTTCTCCAAGGTCAAATTTAGTACATGATTTATTCAGAATATCTGTATCTGGTACCTTCACGGAGTAAGGAAGGCTGTATCTTGTGCCTACCCGGAGTAAGGACGGATTTCATGATATATCTTTCAGTCCTGAAACTTCAACTAAAACTGTCACAAGATATATTCATTCAGATTTATGGATTGGATTAAAATATGTGGGGTTTTAATCAATAAGTGAACTGATTACTAGCCTCAAGCTCTATATTTTAAAGCCATATATCTTTGCAACCTTTGCAACCTAATGGTACGTGCAAACTTTTAGTATTTCAAACCTGATTATTTGATCATGCAGAATCCATAGTTTAAAATATCAATTGTAATCAGTTTCTCTCTTTTTTAAAATATACTTTTTAAATAAAAAGTTACAAATAACAAAAAAAAATATTTTTATTCATAAATACATAAAAGAAAAGGGGAGGGGGGAGGGGTAGTGTAGGTATATGGGTGGTAAGTAAGTATGAGGGATTCGGAGGATAAAAATATGACAGAAGGTGATTATTATGCAAGGTAGAGATGGGAGGGCTAACTGTCACAGAAATGGAATGATTTGGGATGAATTTAGCTATTATTGATGCTAAATCATGAGATTATGTTATATCCATATATACATATGTGCACGCTGATACAGGTTTAGTGGTATTAGTAGTCCGTATATAATACTCTATAAATACTTCGTGTACTAAACATAGTATTCAAGATTAATAGATAATTCAGGGGGGTTAGGTTACAGGGGAGTCCAGGAGACAGGGAGGTCCAGAATACACAGGGAGATCCAGAATACACAGGGAGATCCAGAATACATAGGGAGACCCAGAATACACAAGAAGATCCAGAATACATAGGGAGATCCAGAATACACAGGGAGATCCAGAATACACAGGGAGATCCAGAATGCACAGAGAGATCCAGAATACACAGAGAGATCCAAAATACACAGGGAGATCCAGAATGTAGGGAAATTCTGAATACAGAAGATTTAGGGAAATGCAATAAAATTCAGAATCAAAAGATTCAGAGTAATACTGGGAGATCAAGAATACACGAAGTTCAGAATCAGGAGATTTAGGGAAATACTGGGAGATTTAGAATGCAGGAGATTCAAGGAAATACAGAGAGGTTTAGAATTAAGTAGATTTAGGAAAGTACAATTAAATTTAGAATACAAGAAAATACAGAGAGATTCAGAAAACTGGTAATTCTGAGAAATACAGGCAGATTCAGACAACTTGGGATTCAGAGAGTTACATTAAAGGAGTTTAAGGGAAATGCAGAAAGATCCTACAGAATAGAGGATATTTAGAAATATAAGGTGATTCAGAATACAGGAGATTCAAGGAAATATAAATTAAATGTAAACGTGTATTAGATAATTGTGTCTAAAATATTAAAATTCTCTTTTCATCATGTTAATCATAGATAGTTTGTTTGATCCTGAGAAATTAATTAGCAAAAGCCATAAAATATAATAAAACCGAATATTTATATTTTTCACCCATAATTCTAAATTCTTTCAGGTTAAAAATGCGGGGGCAAAGAACCCCGAAATGTTTTAATTTTCTTGGATTTGTTGATTCGTCATTTTTTAAACCCAGAAATTAGGTAAGTACTCTCACGGGCAGCCGTAGTACATTTGAATTTCCGAGCCGGGTCAACCTTTTCGGTCCCAGTTCGTACTGTACCTAACTCTATGGACAGGACTAGCCGGTGCAACAAGGTTGACGCGGTCAGACTTTATGCTTCATATAGGCTGAATTCACTTTTACTAAAGGGGCAGGGGTGCTCTACGCTTTCCAACTATTTCCAGTTATATATGATTTATAATATATGTAGATTGTAGATATTTTACTAGAGGTTCAACAATTACGCAAATATATGTTTGAATTTTCAAGTAATATTAATTATCCGAAGTTAAATATAACAAGTTGAATTTTAAAAAATGTAATCTTTCTTTTAAAATAAAGCCTAAATAATACGCAAACAATAGTAATGAAGTCACAAGTTGACAAATTTTACTGATTTTGCTTTTTTTTGCAAACATGGTAAATTTTGAAAATAAACATTAATGAAACAGCATCTTAAAGGGACTATAGAGGAAAAATGAAAGGGGGTATAGACTGAATTCCTAGAGCCAGGAACATCAGATACAACTTTCATAGGTCGCGATCAAGAGCTAAAGTGAATAGCTTTCAGCCTATACTCCCTTTAAATTTTCCTTTACAGTCCCTTTAAAGGGACTGTAAGCGTAATTCTAAGTGGCCTTTAATGCAAAGATGGTAATGCAGATTCACACGGGTACCCTTTTCTCTGATATATAATGTGGAAGATATTATCATTTTACTTGTTTTAAAAGTGTTAAGCTCTGATAATTCCTATACGTTTTCTTGTAGCATACTTGATCAGACAACGCTTTTAAGGGTATGGTTGTGAATCGGGCATTAACATCTCTGCATGGAGGGTCACTTGACATTACGCGTACAGTCCCTTTAGATAAAAAGTTAAACGAACTGATTTGTAATTACACACCTTATACCCTTGCAACCTGAAAACTGGAGTTCCTGAAGTTTTGTTTAGAAGATCAAGATGAGAACCCAAGAACAATCTCAGATTAAGTTCCTCTGGACACTAGCAATGATTCAGGAAAAATCAAATGATTTTACATATGCAGGGTTACCCTCAAACAATAAAACTTTAAGGGGCCCTATGTATGTAATTTCAATTCAATTTATAGACGATTTTTAAAAACATAATATTAAAATTAAACCATATGAATCAAAAATACTTTAACACTAAATGGAAAGAAGTAGATAGAGGAAAAGGTATTGAAGAATAGAGTGGAAAAAAGAAGAAAGGAATACAAGAAACTATAACGCAGACACCAATCATTACAATGTTTTCTGTTTACCACCGTGTAATACAATTTTAATGAAAAATCATTTGATCGTTGAGAGTAGATCATTATTGTTGGGATCTTCTTCCTTCTCGGCAGATACGATGATTCCTCTAATCCTAAGAATGTCAACAGCAAGCATGGTATTGAGCGTCTGAAATACAACCTGAACGCCTACCCTCTCGGCGTTGATATCTTTATGATGCTTTTCGGAGGATTCGGATACCTCATGACGTTCTTGAAGAAATACGGATTGGGGGCGGTGGGATTGACCATGATTATAACAGCTGTGGTTACAGAGTTTACTGTCATTGTGATTGGCTTGACTCATATTAACAGTGATTTTGTGATCGAGGTAGAGTTTATTACTTTGGTGGAAGCTGGGGTTACAGCTACTTCTGTTCTAATCACATTTGGGGCTCTCATTGGAAAGGTACTTTTTGATAGATATCCTTAACACTGTTTTATAACTATGGCAACCTTAGATAGAATCTTTTTAAATTGGTTGGTAGAGTCTAATAAAACTTTTCCACAATTAACTTGAACCGGACACAGAAAAGGCGTGGTTCAACTATATCTACGTAGTTCAACTACTTCTCGTCATTATTAAATCTGGTCCCAGTTTGAAATTTTAACGGCACAATCCAAAACTAAATTTAAAATTAATACAGTGACACCCATAAAACTTTGGAATAGTTGGACGACTGTGAGATTCTAAATTTGATTTTAATTAGTTCACTGACCATGAAACCCAGCAATAATAAAGTTTACACTGGCCCATTTCACTGTATAGTTGGTTTTCAAGTTACTGGTAGCATTTTTTTTATAACAACATAAAATTGCTTAAATATCGTCTTCCTATTACTGCAGCTTTATGGGTTTCATTGTACAATATTTAACATTTGTTTTTTAAGGTTAATCCACTTCAAATGCTTGTTATTGGCATCATTGAGTGTATCATCATAACCCTGAATATGTATCTCGGATACAAGATTCTCGGAGCAAATGATGTCGGAGGCGCCATTTTAATTCATACTTTTGGCGCGTATTTTGGACTTGCGGTCAGTCTTGCTCTTCGAAATCAGAAAGTAGAGCTGAGTTTTAATCTTGAAGAACCACGATATACGAGTGATATAACCTCACTTCTAGGTATTTCTTTCCAAGGTTATAATGCAAGGAAAGTTATTTCAGAGGTTCACGCACCTTTTGTACTGCAGTGTACTGTCTCTGGGTGGTAATATAAACACAAGAGATGTCACAGCCTGACATGGGATCCATCCTTCACATAAAAAATCAATGAAATATTCTGGTCAAAGGAAACTCTAATTATGTGAATAATCAAAATTATCAAAATTAAATGCTTTTATCCTCCTCGGATACTAAACAAACACTAATGCATCTATTACTAATTCCGCCCAGAGAGAACTGGTTTCAATATGTACGCAGAGTATACGCAACTGCAATTAACTTTCCTTGCATTACTACCTTGTTTGTTTCTAACTCAAGTCCTATCTATAGTTGTTGTAATTTCAAGTTACCTTCCATTTAAAATAGTCCATGCCCGATTCACAGTGCTACCCTTCACACCTAAATCAGATCAATAATGTGGAAGATAACGTCGTTTTTCTAGCTGAAAATTTCCTCCAAATTGTTGCTGCATTAGGAATCGCGATTTTTTAAAGGGAAACCAGAAATCTAAAAATCATTAATTTGTTTAAAGAGAAAACATGGATATCTCATCCATTTTTAACCAGACGAAGCTTTGTAATTCGAAAATGCAACTCTATATAAATGGATAGCTTTTTGATATTAAGCCTGCAGTCCTCTTAAGAAATTTTTAATATAATGCCTATTTACAGGCACTGTATTTCTCTGGGTGTTTTGGCCGAGCTTTAACGGAATTTTAGCAGTTGAAGATGCTCGTTTGAGATGCTACATCAATACATATCTCAGTCTTTGTAGCTCAACAGTTGCAACATTTGTTATCAGTGGACTACTCGGGAACAAGAAATTCTGCCCGGAAGATGTTCAGAACGCTACATTGGGTAAAAGAACTCAGAATTTTTAATCCCTTTATCTTTGCAACCCGATGTCGTAAACCTTGATATTTCAAACATTGTATTTGGATCAAATATTAAAAGTTTTAAATATGAAAGATTTACACCATCAGGATGTAAAAAATATAGGAATAAAAAAAATTGAGTTTGTATCAAGAACTCTGTTTATTTTTTAATTTTAATTTTAATAGATATAGAAAGATGATTTGATATCTATCAGTCAGATAAAGGAAATGAGTTTTTGCAACAAAATCGTATTTTCTAATTTTTATATCTTCTCAACCAAATGTCGTAGACCTTAGATATTTCAAACTATGCATTCTGTTAGATCAAAAAGTCTAAGTTTGAAATATCAAAGGATTACGCTATGAGGTTGAAAAGAAATAGAGGTTTAAAAATTTGAGTTTGTGGAAAAGACTCAATTCTTTTAGTATCGATAAATCTGAAAACACAGCTCACGACGACTTTTCTATCGTTTTATCGTTCACCATGTCCTATCTAGTTCATTCTTATATCTTTGAAATAGGAAATAAATATTTGCCTCTAAAACTATTTATACAATTCCTATATCTTTGGAACCGTGCTTGACAGGGCGTGATTATGTAAACTGAGCTGGGAACTTTAGATATAGGTGGATATCGAGATTAATGCTTAATCCTCTCTTTTTGCTAATCTCGAGACTAACATAATCTCGAGATTGTGTTTGTCTCGAGAGTAAATATTTAGATCAAAAAATTTGATTCTAGGAACGCCTGATTTGTTCGCTTTCTGTGTGGAAGGGCCCTCACTTAATTTCTCACCCATTTATTTATTAATACATTAGTTAAAATTGGTTAAAAAAGAATCTCAAAAGTATTATTAAATATTTTTCTTCACTGATTAATTTACAAAATAGCTGACAACATATTCTTAACTTGTTTGAAATTGCGGATATTTCTCTCATGGGATAGAATTTATTTTCAAGGCTGTCATTGGTCAATACAATTTACGAATTATATTCCTGCACTCTCTTTGGAGAAAATAATGTACGGATATCCAAAGAGAGAGAAAAAGAGTAGATTAAGGACTAAAATTAAAAGTTTCCACAATGGATATTCGGATTAAGTAGTTGGGATTCAAGGTTATCCATTCTAAAGTTCACAGCTCTGTTGACATTTTAAATTGGCACTGTTTGATCTATTGATGATCTAATAAATTGAAATGCCAAAGGCAATCACCCCAGTCTAAAAGTTGTATGATCCGTGCCGGTACAACACTGTACATGCAGTCCGTCGTACCGTCCAGTCATGCTACCCAGTGTAGAGTCGACCCAGCACGTTTTTTGCAATAAATGTAGCCAGTGCAATAGGTTGCAATGATATAAGGATTTGAAAATTATTTTGAGCCGAGTATTAAGTTCTGTTAATTTAGCTGGAGGAGTAATGGTTGGAGCTACTGCAGATATGGTTCTCCAACCCTACGGAGCTTGTTTAGCTGGAACTCTTGCAGGAATCGTCTCCACCATTGGTTTTAAGTACATCACTCCAGTAATCCATAGGCATTTGAGAATACATGATACTTGTGGTGTTCATAACCTCCATGGCTTACCTGGAATCATGTCTGGGTTATCATCAGTACTTGTTGTTCTACTTGCAAGCGAGGATAGTTACGGTGCAAACCTTTATAAAATGTTTCCTCTCTGCGCCCCCCTGGAGGGAACACATGCCTTGAAGGTCCTCCAACAGCAGCTTCCAGGTAAATAATTAAAATGAATTAATTTAGAAAAAATTGCTCAAAATAGCTCTACAAAGGAATTGAGCTAGTCTCTGACACAAACTCAAATTTTTTAATCTCTACAGCTTTACAAACTGACGTTTAAATCTTTGATATTTCAAACTTAACAGATTTAACAGAATCTATAGTTTGAAATATCTAAGGTTATGCCATTGGTCTGAAAAGATATAAGGATTAGAAAATCAGAGTTAGTGGCAAAGACTCAACTCCTTATTTTGTTTGTTTGATAAATTAGGCTTCATGTAGAAAGGTTTACAAACCCATTATCAGTCAACACTTGAGTTTTGTTTGTTTAAAGACAATAAGGTTTTACTGTTGTTTTTTTTTCGGATGCGGATAAACGGAGGCAAAGTGTTGCGAATCCAAATATTTCAAATCCGAATCATAAGCACTGTTTAAAAGAAACTGATTTCCCGCGATGTTAAGTACTTTCCCAAAGGCCATTTTCTAAGCGGTCACTTCCCAAGGGTACTTCCCAAGTGGCAACTTCTCAACTGTGCAATTTCCCAAGCGCCAACTCCTCACGTCTGTCCTAGCTGCAGCGTTTGGCTCCCTAGCCTGTTCTAGCAGCAGCGCTCAGCCCCCCTTAGACTATTACAGCTGCAGCGCTCGGCCCTCATTGCAAAGGCAAAGGCCTAACCTAACCTTTGGGAAGTTACCGCTTGGGAAATTGAAAATTAGGGAATTTGCCACTTGGGAAATTGTCACTTCGTTAGTCGCCCTTGAGAAATGCCTTGTGGAAAATACCTGATACCATCTTGATTAAAACAAATTTATTGTTTTAAATATCAAAGAGTTACAAGATATAAGAATTATAAATTTTAAGTTTAAGTTTGAGATATGTAATTAGTTCCTTTATATCTAGAGTTAGAGGGTGGAGAAGGAAGATCAGTTGGATTTCAGGCTTTAGTCCAACTTCTCACTCTGGGAGCAACCTTACTCATCGCTATTGTCAGTGGACTAGTTGTCGGTATTTTTATCTCAATACAGAAGCTGTTTGACACCATCCCGGACGAAGAACTATTTGACGATGACCTGTTCTGGAATATGCCTGATCACGACGATGTAGGATATCCGGAACGCAATGCCGGCTACCGCCGGAAGTCCAGATCTAGGTCAATGTTTAACCCCGGCCTTGCACCGGAAATGGAACTAAACCGGAAGATGAGTATTGTGAGTATCGGCCATCTTAATCCTTCCTTCACGATAAATTAACTAAAAGGGACTGTAGACTAAATTTCAAACGGCTCGTCATTAACAGATTCACAACTGAACCCTCTAAAAAATAGTTTTTTATCTGAAAAAGTTAAAAGTTTTACCTGTTTTCTTCAATGTTTCGGTTGATTTAAGAATCTCAAATTAGCTTGATCAATTTTCAGATAAAAACCTAGGATATCTCCATCGGTTTAATTTGCTGAGACAAACCGTTATACTAGCATCTAATGGGCATATAACCGAGTAACTCTAAATACGGCGGGTCACTTGAAATTTCATAAACGTTAAACAATCTCTTTTAAAAACGATTTTTTTTAAATTTGCGTTTTGAATAAAAGTGCTGGAGATATTTGAATCAAAATATTTTAATAAAAAATTGGTTTTAAAAGCCACGGTCCTTTTCCTAATTCTTAATTATCGTTATAATTTGATTCTGTCATTTACAGTACTCTTACTTAAGAGAAAAATATGTAATTTTTTTGTCAATAATCTTTGGACGTAAAAACAATTTTACAAGACATGCAATCAAATCATGTTTTTCTCTGCGCTCGTGGAACATTTATTATAAAATTATATCTAACATTAGATTTAAGAAAGATAATAATCATCTAGGTTTAAGAGAATATAATATTATATATATAATTATGTGCACGCCTGGACCTTTATACATCTTAAATAAATTGATATTTCTCTTGTACTGCAATAACTTGATAATCTCGCAATTATATGTACAAAAGTAGGAGATGTTGTCAATTTAATAGATAGTTTATAATCTAAGATAGATAATCCATGTTTATCCTAAGATTATATGAATATTTGGTTCTCAGCTAAGTGATAAACTTTGTGCAGAGCTACAAGGTAATCCTATAAAGAATGCAAAGGAATTGAGTCTTTGCCACAAACTCTGATTTTTCTAACCCAGTGTCGTGACCTCAGATTGTTCAACTCAGAATTCTGTTAGATAAAATAATATAAGTTTGAAATATCAAAGGTTTACGCCATTAGGTTGCAAAGATGTAGCCGGATAAGATATTTGAGTTTGTGACAAAGACTCAATTCTATCTGAATTAAAACAAACAAGAATTCTGAACCTTGATTTAAAAAGTTTAAGAGTTACAACGGTCTACTGTAAACTTTTGTCCAAGCTGAACAGTTTTTTTTCAATCCGAAAACTAAATATTTTTTAATGTGCGGTTTCTCAATAAAAGTAAATTGTGGATGTGGTTTGTTTCTATCGTAACTCAACAGTCTTCAAAACTGTTTTCTTTTTCTAATTTTTAATTTAAAATAAAAGAGAGAAAAGGTATAAAGGATTTGAGTCTGTTAGATCAAATAACATAAGTTTGAAATATCAAAGATTTCCACTATCAGATTGCAACGATATAAGGATTAGAAAATAAAAGTTAGTAGCAAAGACTCAACTACTTTGTTTATTTGCTCGAAAGTGGAAGCTTGCTCGGACAAGGACCGAACTGTTAATTCAGTTTATCATCCGAACTTTTCCTACCCTCAATATCAACTAGACCTATGACCAAACCTTAACCTGAACCTGAACCTGAAACTTAACCTGAACCTAAACCTGAACCTGAACCTGAACCTGAAACTGAACCTGAACCTGAACCTGAACCTGAACCTGAACCTGAACCTGAACCTGAACACGAACCTGAACCTGAACCTGAACCTGAATCTGAACCTGAACCTTAACAACCTAAACCTGAAGATGACCCTAAACCTAAACTTGAACATGAATCTGAACCTGAACCTGAACCTGAACCTGAACCTGAACCTGAACACGAACCTGAACACGAACCTGAACCTGAACCTGAACCTGAATCTGAACCTGAACCTTAACAAGACCTGTATCCGATCTTGAACCCGAACCTGTACCTGAACAACATATCCGAACCTGAACCTAAACCTGAACAAGATCTTTATCCGAACTTAAACCTGAACCTGGACCTGAACAAGACATATATCCGAACCTGAACCTGAATCTAAACTAGACCTATATCTCAACCTAAACCTGGACCTAGACCTTGACAAGACCTTTATCTGAACCTCAACATAAACCTCAACATGTAAACATCTCAACATAAACCTCAACATGTAAACATATATCCGAAACTTCATCTGGGTTATTTTATTATCGACTTTTGTTTAAGTATACTGTGTAACCATCCATACCAAACCAAACAATTCTTTAAAAACGGTCTATGCACGTTGCACAACAAAAAACTGCTAAACACAAAACTATGAATGCAGAAACCAATTTATATTTAATCGTATAATTTTAATTAAAGCTTATTAGATTTTGTGAAATGAACCTTGAAAAGATTATCGAGTAGAAATACTAAAAATGTCGGATGAATAAATACGCATAATACGCGATTTATCCTGCAGTAAATTACGCATTCCGTGATCTAAATCTGTATTCTATTTTTACATAATATTTTGTAAAACGTGGCATCTTAAAATCTAGAAAATCTACGGGACCATCCAAGTTCAAATATTTACGCTGCAGGGGGCGCGGAAATGCCGCTGAAAATAGTCCGAAGGTAGAGATTCAAACTCCCGGGACGCAGCGGAGCAAACCGCCGTTGGAACTCGCGCTTTTTCGGGGCAACAAGATGGATTTACAAGTTCAGATGGATTTGATAACTTTTACAAAAATAGGTGATAAATGTTTTAAAAATAAGATTGCATTTTATACGTTTTTTTGTTGGATCAATAAATCTAATGCAGCGGTCGCTCATCTTCAACGCAATACAAAACGTAAACAAAGGAATAAATCTTGATAGCACACATTTAATCTTTCTTTTATTTTCGTAAAAAAAGACTAGACGTGTGTAATCAACTCTTGAATCTTATAACATAATGAGATGCTTTTAATTATATGCTAAAATGTTAGAACATCTTTCAAAAGTTGTTTTTTTAATATTTTATTTAAATCGTCTGGCATGTTTTTCAAAAATAAAATATGAAATGTTTAAAGCTGAAATGTAGATGTAATTATAAGTGATAATCCGTTCGAAAAGCGACATTCACAATGGTACCATTCAACCCTTTGTCAGATGAAATGTCCTTTTATCTTAACATTTTTTCTTATTCGATTCAGTGTTTCACTGTAAAAACTACTGGCGGATTTATCCTGCTGAGACAATTGCGGAATTCAACATTGTTTTCTTCCACATTAGAAGTTTAGAATGTACATTTGTGAATCGGATATGTCACTTTTCAAATGAAAAATGACACTTTAAATTACACGTCGACAGTCTAAGTTGAAGTGACAGCAAATAAATAAATGAATTAAAAAAAAAAGTTTAAATATTTTAAAAATATTTTTTCGAGCAATTTTTTAAATTTTACTAAATCTAAAACTTTTAATTATAAATTTGAACATCCATAAACCTTCCCTGGAATCATGTGAGGTCCCCACAAAAAATTGGGCCCGATCGGTTCAGCCGCTTTTGACATTTATTGGACACAAACGGACAGACAAGCAAATTATATGTATACAGATATATCTTTTAGTCTCTAAATATAATTTAACAATGAAAGAGGAAAAATTGATAAAATTGTCCAGCTTCCTGGAAGGATTTAAAAAAATTTCTGGATCAATATGGTTCAGGTGTACAGAACCTTTCCTAAAACTGTAAAGAAGAATAAAACCGAAAACTTACTAAACAGAATAAGAATATATGGACAGAGCTAGGTGTCACATGTGCTGAAAAATATTCAATTCAATTCAATAATCGTCTCGTAATCTTTTTTCAAAATGTCAGACCAAGTTCTTTTAATTATCTAAGAGCCAAGGGGTACATTTATTTAAAAACTAGTTAAGAAAGTTTCCGCCGGTAGATTCAAAACTTTTTCATTTTTCATTTTTAATAGGTTCAGGAAAATTTCCGTAAGTCTTTCACGGAACAAAATTTTTTCTTAGTTATTTTGGAATAAGAATATTTAAACTTTTCGGTCGGTTTTCCTGGTTTGACCATTGCCCAGTTACTCTTCATGTCAGTTGGAAAAAAGATTTATGTTATTCAACCCCTGCAACTTGATGATACATAAAGAAAAAAAAAATATTTGGTAACAAATATTGAAATTGGAATTTCCTTATCTTTCATAATTTTACTTTAAAAAAAAAATATAAAATTAGGTATCCCCCCCCCCCACACTTTACTTAATTTTATGAAGATGAAACAAGTTGAAGATTCCCCGAACCCTGGAAAAGGGCGGCCTGAGTCCCAAAATGGCCTGATTGAGACCCAGTATCCGCGGGATGGGTTGGATTCGAACCAAGTATATAAACCCACTGCAGTCGGCTTAAAGACATCATTCTTCTAAGACACACAATGGTTGCAACAGTAAGTACATTGTTCATATAATTATAGAAAAAAACCATTTTTCTAATATCTTAATCCTTGTGTTAATGCACTGATTTGCTTAAAAATGCTTATAAAAAATTTGAAATAACGTGATGGTGGTCATTGATATTTCAAACTTAGATTATCTATATTATCTAATAGAATTCATAGTATGAAATATATCTAGGGAGCCATCATTGGTTGCACATATATAGGGATTGAAAATCAGAAAATTAAAACTGCAATTCTATTATAAACATAAAGATAATAAATTGACAATTAATTGTTCAGGCGTTGATATCCCTGTGTGTTGTCGGTCTGACCGCTGCGGCGCCCCAGCTTGCTTTCTCTGCTGCGCCGAGAGCCGTCGGCGACGATCAGAATGTGATAGTCTCTAACGTGGTTACTGCCCTGCAGCCAGCTATCTCCGAAGCCGTAGCCAATGCCCTCCGTAACCTTCAATCCAGCTCAAGCACCTCCGCCTTTGATGCCGAGCGGGCTCAGTTCGAAGCTGAGTTTGCTGCAAACAACGGAGGCGCTGCCGCTGCGAAGGCTAAGTATGATTTCAACTACCAAGTCCGTGACGACGAAGCTGGTACTTATATCTACCAGCAGGAGGCTAGGGATGGAGATGATGTAAACGGAAACTACGGATATGTTGATCCCAACGGAACTCTGATCAAGGTGACCTACCAGGCTGGTCTGGACGGGTTCACCCAGAGCTTGGAGCAGGAGGAGAACTTTCTCTCTGGCGGAAACAGCAGAGCTAGCTCCTCAGCAGGTGCTGTTGGAATAAGATCAGATTCTAGGACTCAATCTTCTTCCTTCAACGAGGAGGCCTTGATTGCTCAGATTATCCGTGCTCTTCAGCCCACCATCTCATCTTCTGTTGAAGCTGCCCTCGCCTCGGTCTAGGCTTCGGAGATTTTAACGCTGATTGTCTGGGCATTTTTCTAGTTTCAGCACCTCCCCCCCCCCCTACATTTAGCCACAGAGTTTATATTGTCATGTTATCAGTAATAAAGAATTTGCACAAAATATTTTATTATTTATTTCATATGACCAGCATATCAACTTCACAGAAGGGTTTATATGCTAACTGTATTCATGTTCAAACTTGTATAAATAGGGGTCAATGGAATTGAGTCTTTTCCACAAACTCAAATTTTCTAATTCCTAAATCTGTGCAACATGATGGTGAAAACCTGTGATACTTTAAACTTAGATTATTTGATCTAACAGAGTTCATAGTTAGAAATATCTTATATATACGACATAGATTTGCAAAGATATTGGGATAAGAAAATTAGAGTTTGTAGCAAAACTTAAATCCTGTGTATGTTAAAAAGTTTAACGCTTGATAAATTTGTATCCTTAAATAATTTTGAAATAGTTAAACACCAACAAATTCGGCGAAATAAAATAAGTCTAGTTTTTAATTTCATAAAACGAACTACTACAATGTTACTCAGCAAAATTATCAGCAAATATAAAATCTACATCATCCTGAAAAGTAAGGAGGCACTTTATGTACAACTGTACATACATATATAAAAAAATATCCGGGTAGAGGGAAGAAAAAGTTGCTATTATTTAGATAGAAAAAAAAAATATCGTACGAAAAAGTTGCTATTATTTAGATAGAAAAAAGAAATATCGTACATGTCTGTACAGTAAAAGAAAATATTTCCAAATGCTGTAAGAGTCGGTATTTATAAGTTGTTATAAAATATGTAATAACTAAAGATTGATTTGTACCAAAGCTTCAGAAGTTTCGTACTTTTTCATGTATTCTGGACTACAATAAGTGCATATTTTCATGTGTCCTTATGTTGTGTCCTCATGCTTAAACTGATAATTGCTTTCAAGGGAGCCTCCATGAGGAGTTGGCAATGAGCGATTCAGACCGGTTCCCTTAAAACCATTACGTGATCAATAATGAAGAAGATATTTTCGGTTTTAAAGGTCTAAATGTGGTCAATTCTGATAATTCCTTCATGTTTTCCTGCTTGAGAAAATCATCGGGTTTCAAACTTAATAATTAGTTCTGTACTTGGTCAGAGAAAGCTTTTAATTGAAGGTATTGTTGAGAATCTTGAGAATCGGGCAAATCCATATCTGTATGAAGGGTCACTTAATTGACATTTAGTAGGTGAGATGCAATATATTCAGGCAATAAGGAGTGATCTGTATTAGCAAATTCTCACAGAGTGTTCAATATGTCGATCTGAGGCCGAATTTAAAGAATTTGAGCCGCGGCTTAAATTTGAGACGCGGCTCAAATATAGTTGGTTCCACTTAAAATTGTATTCAATGTTTCAAGACTTAAGTCGACGCTTAATTGAAACCGTTTTTTTGGCGGATTTGAGACGCGGCTCAAATTCATGAACTTCGGACTCTGTCCTCGTAATTAAAGATTCAAGCACTAAAAATAATTCACATTTTAAATCAGGGCATTTTCCAGGTTTTTTTTCTCACTAGGCCTCAGTTTTCAGAATAAAAATGTGAGGTTTTTAGACATTTATTTAACCTTAAAACAGGCCTCACAGAACTTTTCTTTCGGGAAGTTTTTTTAGAAGTCACCAAAACAGAGTTTTAAATTCACTTTCTTTTTAAAGATATTTTTAGAAGTCACCATAACAGAGTTTTAAATTCACTTTCTTTTTAAAGATATTTTTAGAAGTCACCATAACAGAGTTTTAAATTCACTTTCTGCTTAAAGTTTTTTTTTGACAGGTTCTGGTTTTCAGATGAATTTTTTAAACCTCAGGGGTTTAGAATCTCCGCATCGGAGGCTTAGGACAGCTAATACTTCGACCTCGAGGTTTAAGCTTAGAAATATCGGGAGTATCCTAAACAAAATATTTCATTAACTTCATCAATTTAAGATTTTTTATTCCTAAAAAATATAAAAGTCAGAGCTTTTGTGTTATGAATATTTCTTAAAGTAGATATCTACATTCTAAATATACTCTTTTAATGAGGCTATCTACGAAAAGGTAAGTGACCGTCCATTAACAGTAGGGTTTCCATCGAAATTTTCGTTCAAAATTTTTGCGAATTTTGATGTATTTTCGACGAAATTTTCGACCTCATTTTCCAGAAAAGTTTTCTTTTTCGCGAAATTTTCGTTCGATGAAAATCGAAATTTTCCATTTGCATCATGAAGATTGTATTTTTACAAAAAAAAAAAAAAATTGTGAAGGAAAGTTCGAAAATTTTAACGAATTTCACAAAAATTTTGAACGAATTTCGCGAAAAAATTTAACGAAATTTTTGCGAAATTGAACGAAAATTTGGACACCCTAATTAACAGATTTAAGAAAAGAAAAGTGATCAAGAAACTCTTCTCGATGTTCTTATTTCTGATGAAAATAAAAATCTTTAAAAACTTCATTGTTAACATAAATCCAAAGATTTATAAGATAGCGTTGAGAATCGTTAACGGAACTCTTTAAGTGAAAAATGTGCGATGTGTTGTAAACCCCGAGTTTGATTCGGTCTACAGCAGAATTTTTAATACAATAATTAACTCTCTTAGTTCATATTTATTAATTCAAGTTTATTAATAATTGTATATTTATATTTAGGAGATTAGTATTCAGCACTCAGATCCACCTCTGTATCAAACGACAGCAGGAGTTCCGCCCTTCTCAACATCAGCAAGGACATGTGAGTCAACAGTTCCACCTCCATCCTCAGATAATGTTCCTCTCTAGAGATCCTCCTATGCCCCTGAGATGCATCTACAATTACTTGATGTAGGCTCTGCCAGGCAACATCTATCTGACCCTCGATCCTTCTCCAGTTTCTGATAACTACATCTATCCGGCCTCTGTATGGCTGGAGGCCCAGTCTCATCCACAGGAGGTCGTCCTCGTCTGCATCCTCAGGCCTATCCTCCGGGTCAGGGGGACCTACATTAGGATCCCCCGTCTGGGGGACACCTTCTCCTGTCCCTCTCCTATCCAGATCATTCCCTCCTTCATCCACAGGTCTCTCAGACACATCACTAGCAGGCAGGACCGGAACTACAGCCCCATGGTCCTCATGGTCACCACCTCCTGGGGGTAGGGTGGTCGTAATCTCCTTTATAGCTTCTATTAACCCTTTGTGGTATTGTTAATTACTTAGCTATTAATATACTTATAATCAATCAAGAATTATTTATCTTTGTATATAGCTTTACTAAGCTATTGGTCTTGCTTAGCGTTACAGAGCTATCTTATCTAGCTTTACGGAGCTATTGACTTTGCGGAGCTATTAACTTAATCTAGCATGCATTGATTATCTCACTTGAGATCAGAGATAAACAATGCCACAAACTCTAATCCGTCGTTATTTATAATAAAGCTTTAGCAACTTTTATGGTATTTTAGTTACTTAGCTATTGATATAATTATTAACAACCTAGAATCAGTTATCTTTATAAATAGCTTTACTAAGCTATTTGTCTTGCTTAATTATATAAAGCTATTTAATTTTGCTTTGCGGAGCTAAGGGTCATCTTTATACAAATAGCTTTACAAAGCTATTTGTCTTATCTAGCTTTGCAGGGCCAAGGAGTCGGCTTAGCTTTACGGAGCTATTTATCTCATCTAGCATTGCAGAGCTATGTATGGTATTTAGCTATGTAGAACTATATATTCTAGTCCGTTGATGTAGAGCTAGATATTTCTTTGCTGAGCTATATATTGTATTTAGCTATGCAGGATTATATATCCTTGCCTATCTATGCTAAGATAGATATATACAACTAGCTATTCAGAGTTGAATATGTTTATCAGGCTATGTTATGTTAATAGTCTGAGTTATGAATCGGTAAGAGTTGTGAGCTGCACTTGACCTAAGGTAGAAGATTATATTAATATTATAATTCTTTCTACTAGTAAGGTTCTTTGTGCACTGCCGTTCCCTTTTGCTTTGATTCATTATATAGAGCGCTGGCAGCATGTTCTATATATACGTGAATTCTAAGGTATTCCTAATCCGTTCTAGATTACAACAGATGACAATCCCTGATAATGTATAAAAGTGTTTTACTTTTAGTAATCCCTCCATCTTGTCTCCTATTCTCTCCACGTGGTTGTCTGTAAATCCTCTTCCGGTCGGAGAAATAGAATCACTCTAAAACAAACATGGAGGATAATCAGCTGGTAAGCATCGTATACCAAGATGCTATGGAAACTGATCTATAGGAATTCGACCTAATTATCGAATTTTATAGATTTAAAGTTTGGATGAAATATCAATTTGATAGCTTTACCTTTTTCTGATGACTCACGCTATATCTTGATCTCCTAAATCTACTCGATCTAAAATAAATGCCTGTTTTAAAAATATAAAAATATTGAAATATGTTAATAAAATGTTAATATAATATTTGTACAAATCAACCTCTAAACGTTCCTTTCCACCAATACTTATATTATTTAGGATATTTATGTATATTTTACATAAATCCCTGGACCGATTTGTCTCAAATTTTTATTAAGAAAGTCGGTAGAACCACGGGAATTGTAATCTCTTACCTTCGTTTAGGTTTAATCGGAGATTTTGGGATGGATTCAATCTGAATTTCTGGAGGAGGCTCTTCTATCTCTTCCTCATTCTCCTTATCCTTCTAAACATACTTTTCTAATTCTCCTTATCCTTCTAAACATACTTTTCTCATTCTCCTTATCCTTCTAAACATACTTTCCTCATTCTCCTTATCCTTCTAAACATACTTTCCTTATTCTCCTTATCTTTCTAAACATATACTTCCCTTATTCTCCTTATCCTTCAAACATATACTTCCCTTATTCTCCTTATCCTTCTAAACATACTTTCCTCATTCTCCTTATCCTTCTAAACATACTTTCCTTATTTTTCTTACTTTCCTATATACATACTTTCCTTATTCTCCTTATCCTTCTAAACACATACTTCCTTTATTCCCTTTATCTTTCTAAACATATACTTCCCTTATCCTCCTTATCCTTCAAACATATACTTCCCTTATTCTCCTTATCCTTCAAACATATACTTCCCTTATTCTCCTTTTCCTTCTAAACATACTTTCCTCATTCTCCTTATCCTTCTAAACATACTTTCCTCATTCTCCTTATCCTTCTAAACATACTTTCCTTATTTGTCTTACTTTCCTATAAACATACTTTCCTTATTCTCCTTATCCTTCTAAACATATACTTTCCTTATACTCCTTATCCTTCTAAACACATACTTCCTTTATTCCCCTTATCTTTCTAAACATATCCTTCCCTTATCCTTCAAACATATACTTCCCTTATTCTCCTTATCCTTTAAACATATACTTCCATCATTCTCCTTATCCTTCTAAACATATACTTACCTTATTCTCCTTATCCTTCTAAACATATACTTTCCTTATCCTCCTTATCCTTCTAAACATACTTTCCTTATTTTTCTTATCCTCCTAAAACATACTTTTCTTATACTCCTTATCCTTCTAAACAAATACTTCCCTTATTCTCCTTATCCGTCTAAGCATACTTTCCTTATTCTTCTTATTCTTATAAACATATACGGAAATTCTCCTTATTCTTCTAAACATATACTTCCCTTATTCTCCTTATCCTTATAAACATATACTTCCCTTATTCTCCTTATCCGTCTAAACATATACTTCCCTTATCCTTTTAAACATATACTTTATACTTCCCTTATACTCCTTATCCTTCTAAACATTTATTTTACCTTATTTTGAAAGAAAAGAAATGTAGTTCCATTTGTTAAATCTATTCCTGGAATATGGATAGGAGGGGGGGTTCCAGGGCCCACAGGTCCAACACCTATATGAGGGGGGGTTCCAGGGCCCACAGGTCCAACACCTAAAGGGTTTACACTTCCTCTCCTTTTAGGCATTGGACTTTCAGTTTCAGAACCAGGGTCATCTTAATTTATTTAGAAATTAATTCAGAAGTCAAAACTTTAGAGCGAAATAACTTGATCTCGATATCCATTGTGACATCTTTTAATTTGAGAGCTAAGTGCATGATCCTTTTGTTTTAGTTATCTCTTCAGGGTACGATCACCAAGGGTAAAAAAATAATATTCCGTATTTATTAAATTATAATTAAAAAAATAATCCACATAAATATAAACTTACTGATAATATCCTCTAGGCCAGATAGATCCTGGGATCCCCAGGAATCCCGGGAATTCGTTCTAACAATAACATATTTTTATTGAATTTGATTTTGTCCATGCTTCTTTAAATTTAGAAATTATTATAAATATAAAATTTAGAAAAATATCATAAATATAAATTTAGAAAAATATTATAAATATAAAATTTAGAAGAACTGAATAAAAAATAAGATACCTGAGGGTAGAGAGGGATATTGCTGTTGTTGACAGAGTTTCCTGTCTTCTCATCATCCTGCAGTACAGTACAGTACAGTCCAGTACAGTACAGTACAGTACAGTACATTACATTACATTACATAACATTACAGTACAGTACAGTACAATACAGTACAGTAAAGGACTGTTTTATTTTCTACAGTTAACGGAATAAAAAAGTTAATATATCTTGTAGGAACAGAGCTGAGGAACTTTTGCTTTGAGTACCCTTAATTCCGTTCGCTTAATATTGATATCCATTGTGGACACTTTTGATTTTCTGCCTAATACTCTAATGAGAGTGCGGGAAAGTTGGTAAATTGGTTTTGCTCAAAATTTCTCGGCTTCTGCTTGGCTGTTCGGTTTCTGCAAACGACACTTTGATTGCTTAAATTTTAGACGCTTTCCTAGATATCAAATAGAGGTTAAATTAATCTGCAGACTAAAAAAAACAGGGGATCAAGCCTTAATCTCTACATCAAAAAAAAACCATTTTTTGAAATTAAATAAAAATATATAGCTTACTTTTTCTTTTCTCTCCGTTTGACAAGATATTGAAAAGCTTCGTGAAGATTCATTTTCTTCTCCATTAATTTCTTAGCTTCCTCTGGGGTTAGGCTTACAATAGGTACCTTCTCTTTCTGTGTTTATCCATGTTTTCAAATCAATTCTCAAGTCTTAAAGGGAGTATTCGCAAAAATTGAAAGGGGGTATAGGCTTACAGCGATAAATAATTGCTTTTGATCGAAACTAATCTTACTTCAATCTGTTGCGTCTATAAGGAGAATTTGTTAAAAACGACTTGGATCGTAAAAGAATTAATTTAACAACAAACTTAAATCATTTAGATATTAAAACCTAAATAGATCGATTATTTTTCGACGCATTCGTATGCAGTTAATATTTTATAATATTTTTTATTTGTTTTATATACAATGCACTTAAAACAACGATTTTTTCCGCTAGGGCCTATAGGTGTCGGTGTTTCTGCCACGTGGAATCATTAAGAGCTACGAGAGCAGAGACACCTGGTGAAAAAACTAATCAGCGTTTTAAGTGGCATTGTATATAAAACAAAGCGTTGTTTGATCTATGAATTAGATATCAATATTTATAATTTAAAAAACTGTTTATTTTCAAATGTTATTTCTCTACAAAAGTGGCTTGCACATTTTTACTGCAGGATAAGAAATAGGCCGAATAATCAGTATTTAATGCTATTAAACTAGAAAAACGACAATATCTTCCACATTATTGATCAGATCAAGGGCATTACCATATTTGCATGGATGCAATCATGTAGTCACTTTAAATTACGCAATTTGTTTCATAAAACGTGCTGGGTCTACTCTAAACCGGGTAGCCTGACTGGACAGTACGACGGACTGCATATACATTTTGTGTTGTACCGGCACAGATCATACAACTTTTGGACTTTAAAAAACAAACTATTTGAGCAGGAAAGGAACTAATTGAAGAGCTATTGAGAAGAACAAAACTGCTTTAAATTTCTAATACGTAACCAAATATTTTTTTCTCATTCTTGTGCTAAAAATATAAAATAGAGGAGCTACGAGGTCACAAAGTCCAGTTTGCAGTGTTATGTTTACAATTTAAAAGATATTGACAATCACGAATTTCCTTATTTTTCTCCTTCCTACTAATCGACAAATCAGGGGCTAACGGTGCCACCTTTTGAGTAAAAACATCTCTGAACATATTATCTGATAGCTCCTGAAAACACCAAATTATAATTTTTTTTATCATTTTTTTTTTGGGGGGGGGGGATTTTCAACATTCAGGCGTGCAATATTTAAAAAAAATGTTCTATCCAGAAATTCAAATTTTTCATTTATTTGCAACCTGGTCTAACAGCTAATTCCTAGCTTAAAATATCAACGATCTTAGATATGCCAAATTATGAATCCTGTTAGATTAAATAATTCAAGAAATAAGAAAGATTTACACCAAAAAAATATGGATTAGAAAATTTGTGTTTGAAGCAAAAACGCAATTTCTTATTGAAAATGTCTGTTTATGTTTTGTGTTCCTTGTATTCTCTCTCTGATATCTTGAGTATCGCTAGAGCTCTGCGCAGCAAATAATCATTTTTTATTAAATATAAAAGTTATCATTCAATTTAAAAGTTAAACATTTTGTTTTCTTTCGAATTCAAAAACCTTGAAATGGATTTGGTAAGCCTTAATTTTTGCGAAAAAAATAAGGGGTAATGTCGGTCAGTTAGCATTTTTTTAAAAACTTCGTCCCTTAGAAAATAAATTTAATTGAAAATTAAAAGTTTCCCAACATAATCGGGAAAATCTGCGAAACGTTTTTACTTGCATTGTTTATTCATATGTACGTAGGAAGAAGAAAAGCTAAACTTAGCTTTAAATATCACCATATAGAGGAATGCAAGGCACCCTGGGAAAGAAAGAATAAAAAAAGGAAAAATGATTAAATATAAATTTAGAAAAATATTATAAATATAAAATTTAGAAAAATATTATAAATATAAAATTTAGAAAAATAATGATAATACCATTGTTTGAAGGATTAGGGTTGAGATAGTCCATACTAAAAAACATGATTTATATAAAAGTGAAAGCAGATCATCTTTGCCGCAAACTCTAATCCCTGTATCCTTGCAACCCTGTGTCGTAGACCTTAGATATTTCAAACTCTGTTAGATCAAATAGTGTAAGTTTGAAATACCAAAGGTTTGAGATATGGAGATTAATGAAATTGAGTTTGTGGCAAAAACTTAATTTCTTTAACTAAACTTAAAAGCATCACTCCTGTATGCCGAGTCCTTTAGCGCCTGATCCAATCAGGGTTCAGTGATGTGTTTGTTGTATATTCTGAACCAATAGAAATAGTATGGCGGTAACATCTATCTTTCTATCTATCTCATTATCCAATCAGAATTATGAATCCTTATATCGACGCTATACACTAAATGGAAATATTTACTTCTATACTCGCTGACTGGCATTTTATTCAGTTTGCCTTGTTTTTGTTTTTCTTTTAAAATTCCGGGATTTTTTACCTCTAAGGGCTTCACAAGAATCCGATATGCGAAGTAAAATAAAAAAATTATGATCCGTAAATTTGGCCATTTACATGGATACAAAATTTTGCTCTGAAGTAAAAAGGCCTCACTATAGTTTCAGTAGAAGTAAATATTTCCATTTACTGACAACGCAGATTTCATTTCTCTAATTGGATAATGAGATAGATAGAAAGATAGATGTTATTGGTTCAGAATAGACAACAAACACATGAATAAACCCTCATTGGATCAGGCGCTAATGGACCGGCATACCTTTGAATACTCATCAAGGGAAGAGAGAATGTGTTTTTATTTCTAAAATGGTGTCCAAATATTTTTTCTATTTATATAATAGCTTGCAAATAAAATGTCACAAAATTACAATCACGTGGGTATGACCAACACAAGATTTAATAAGATTGAGATCAATGCTTGACCCCGAGATTCACAGGACAAAAGTTACCCTCATAAGTGTAAAAAATGTTTAAACCGAACAAAAACGATCCTCTTCTCTACCTACTCACTCCTGTATGCCGAGTCCATTAGTGCCTGATCCAATCTGGGTTCAGTCATGTGTTTGTTGTCTATTCTGAACCAATATAAATAGTATGGCGGTAACATCTATCTTTCTACTATCTTTATTATCCAATTAGAGATATGAATCCTTCAATCGGCGCTATCAGTAAATGGAAATATTAATACTTCTGCTGAAGCTATGGTGACTCGAACAAACTCTTTATATTTCGTAACAGTCCTTTAACGCGAAAACAATTTTGTGGGTTTTCTAATAGTTTTTAGAAGTTTACTATTTCCTTATATTTTACAGGGAAATAAAATGAGTAATGTTTGATGTATTGAACCCGAGGGGAATAAGTCCCGGAGTAAGGAATGCATTCGCTCCGTCCTGGCTCCTTGCATGTTTTACCCAAATAATGAATTATATCCTATAGGAAAACAGCCACGACACACTAATGTAAATTACACGGAAAACTGAATTCTTTTTAATCATAACTCCTTTTAATGAAGAGCTAATAGCTATTGAGAAGATCAAAATCTTTTTTATTTCTTATGAAACCGAGTAAATTTACTTGTCTCATATATACAGGGTGAGTAAAAACAAATTGTGATTAGTGGCGTCTGGTGCAAAATTGTACCCTGTATGGTATTTTTGCAATATTTTATGGAATTTTTTTTGGTGCTCCAATGTTTAAAAAAAATTCATAAAAGCAAAAGTGTATATATGTTATTTCTATCAAATTCTAAAATTTTATAAAGATTGAATCACAGAAAATTCGCAAAATTGTAATGAGAAAATTCGCTATTTTCAGTTCTGGTCTAATTCTGAAGGAAAAATTAGACCAGAACTAATTACAATTGGGCGTATTTTCTGTGATTTAATTTTCACAAAATTTTAGAATTTGATAGAAATACTGTTCATAAGTATGTTATTACCTTATATTTAAACCCTCGGCGTGTATAAAAGTTCCACGTTCTCCGGTATTCTTGAACTCCTCAATTCCAGGCGTTTTCCACAACATTAACCCTTGGAAGATTTGACACCCGGAGATGAAACGACCTAGCTCCAGGTGTTCAGAACACAAGGACGGAGTTAAAACGTCCTGGCTCCAGGTGTTTAGAACACAAGGACGGAGTTAAAACGTCCTGGCTCCAGGTGTTTAGAACACAAGGACGGAGTTAAAACGTTCTGGCTCCAGGTGTTTAGAACACAAGGACGGAGAAACCTAGTCCCAAGGACCTTTGCTGTCTCGTGTCTCAGTGTTTTTATTCATAATACCAGCAGGTTCCTGTCTGACAAATTGTAGGTAGAAATGAAGAGCTAGAATTTGCGTCATCAAGGTTTAGAATTGATCGACCAAGGGCAATCATGACCTTTAGATACAACGGTCCTATCCCATATTAAGTTTGAGAACTTTGTCATAACTTTAACTCCATTTCAATTCTTGAATGAGTTTTTCTTCTATTCTGTGGCAGGTCCACGCAAAACTAACTTCAACCAAGTATGTCCAGAGAACTCTCTGAATTACCGTGAGTGCATGTTTTGAATCCTGCTACGGCTCTAATATAATTAGGCTTCTCATGGCATTCTAAAGATCTGAAATGTTTTAAATTAAATTGTAAAAGGTGTTAAAGTATACACATACATATTCTTTGCTTGTCTGTCTGTTTGTTTGTATCCAATAAACGTAAAAATGGCTGAACCGAACAAGCTCAATATTTTTAAGGCAACTCACTTGACTCTAGGAAAGGTTGAATGACGAAAATTTTAGATTTTTGTAAAATTTTGGAAATTCACGAAAAAAAATGTAAATCTGCAAAAAAATATTGTTTTAATTAAAATTGTTTTATCGAAAAAAAATGCTGACAGATTGAGCAACAATTAAAAGTTGAAATAGAAAATGGACGCGAGGCATTTTAGTGTAGATTTTTTGCATTTTAAATTTTATATTTTTGTACATTTTGAATATGTAGTTTTGTTGGGTTTGATCATATCTTGACTAAGTTTCATTACACAGTCAGGACATTCTTAAATACAGTTAGTTAAACTTACATCATAGTGTATGATGTAGACTAAATAGATTTTTAAGTACAATAGGTGGCAACAGAGAAATGAACCAATTATACACAACGTCACAAGTGTCAAATATAACAAGGAAAACGAAATTTTCTCACATTTGTTGACATGTTTTTCGAGATTAAATAAAAAAGTGTAAAGAAAATAAAGAACACATAAAATTGCACTTATTTTACTATAAGATAAGCACTTATCACTATTATTCATAATTTTGTTTGACACAAAAACTGAGTCGGAATACAGCTGTACTGAGAGTGTACAAATTCTACGTTGCCATCTACTGTATTAGAATCTATTTTATGTAGACTAAAAGTCGCAGGAGAATAAGAAACACTGACTAATATTTCTTTATTGTCCTACTTGAAACTACCATGGTCGGTTTTGCTTTATGTTTTCATTAATTGTAATATTGTTAGACTGCATGCAAAAAGAAAGTGGAATAATAAAATTATTCGAATTATGAGGGCCTTCATAGCTTTTAATAATATTTTTTATTGGCTTGAAAATGGGAAAATATATAAAATCAGGGACTTTTGTTCTCAGTTTTGTATCCCTGTATTTATATTTAGCAATGTTTTTTTAATCTCTTTTCAAACATCAAATTTTTTAGAGGTTTTATGCTTAAAATAAATTATATGCACTGGCTTGTTTCTGCGCTAAATCATTTAGTAAACCATCAAAATACTCAATTGAATTCGGAAACCAAAAACCAAGCTTCAAAACATCATATTTAAAGGGAGTGTTCGCGAAAAATTAAAGGGGGTATAGTCTTAATGCGATAAAAAAGCGCTTTTGATCGCTACTAATCTTACTTCTATCTGTTGCGCCTATAAGGAGAAAATTGTTAAAAACGACTAATACCGAAGAACGTAGTGTCCATACAAATTCAGAAAGATGCAACTCGGATTGTAAACAAATCAATTTAATTCCAAACAAATCATTCAGATATTACAAACAATAGTCATCGATTGTTATCTGAGAGTTACTTTTGAAAACATTTATTCGACTGTTCCGTGGATTTTTGATAATAAAGAGCTTGGGTCGTCTTTACAGTCTCGCCCTTTGTGAGTAGCCCCTGTATAAAAAAGTAAAATCTTAACATAACATAATGATACTTATAATTGGGATTAAACTTGTTATAAACATGATTCTGCACATCGTACAATAGTTTAACTTAATCCCGTAATCACACAAACGATATATCATTTAATGACAATTCCTTTGTAAAGAGCTGGTTTCCCCATGAACCTGCATAAGTAAGTTTTAGATCAGCAGGATTCAAGGAAAAGTGTTGAATACTAAAAAACAGGTGTTTATTAAGGAACTTTACCATTTACCATTCCGCTTTTGTTTGGGAACGTGGAATTTAATGAACCCCAGATTTTAACCTCTTTTTGGTAATTTTTGCTCCCCCTGGTTCCCCCTAGCTCCCTCTGGCTCC